GGGGCACCGGGGGCGTTACTACCTTGAGGGCTCCGCGCCGCTTGTTAAGGCTCCTCCCGGGCACTCGGGGATTTATGTCTTCGGGGCACGGGGGTGTCCTTCCTGGTCCCCCTCCTCTGCCCTCCCTCCCCTTCCTGGCTGTTGGGCTCCTTCTCTCCACTCCCAGTGGCACGGAGTCGAGCTGCGTGATTTAATAATCCTCCTGCTCCTCCTGCCTGCGCCCGCAGAGCGGCTCTGCCGGAGCCACCGCTTCCCAGTCAGTCATGTTGGAGAGAGAGAGAGGGAGGCGGATTGGCAGTAGGTCGGCGACTATGAGCGGTGAGGGAGAGAAGAGCAGAGCAAGAGGAGGGCAGGGGAGGGACGTGGGGAGGCGCTTCCAAGTGTGTGAGTGCGCGGAGTGTGACTGTGAGGGGAGCGCACGAGCCACCTCTCAGGCAGGCCGCGCTCCTGGGCTGTGAGGAGGGCGGAGACGAGCGCGGCCCTTATAGAGGGGGAAGGGGGGCTGGGGCGGGGCAGCTGCGAGGGCGGGGCCCGGCCCACTGCGTCCGCCGGCCCCCGCGCACGCAGACTTGCTCTCTCGCGCGCGCACGCCGGTGGCCGACCCGCTGCTGAATTTTCATTTTAGAGGAGGCGGTGTCCCCCACCGTGCTACTCGGCTGTCCCCCTAGCCCATCCTCGTGCGGACGTCTAGTCCAAGTGCACGGGCAGGTCAAGACAAGAGAGGGGAGTGTGAAGAGTGGCGGCGAGGATGCTGGGACGGCCCTGTGTCTTTTCTCTCCAAGCTTCCGAGGTTATCCTTTTTCTCTTCCATCTCTCAGCGAGGAGATGATGAGGTTCGTTCTCCACTTTTCCGTGTCACCCACCCAATTCATATCCTGACAAGGTCCTTTCTTCCATGGTAATAAGGAAGGAAAGAAACCTGGCTTCTTTCCTTTAAGCAGGTCACACCTCCCAGGAACCATTTGCAGCAATCAATTCTTCTGTAAGATAATGGGAGCACTTGCTACCGTGACCGAGCATGGAAGTTGTGTTCCTGCACGTAAAGGCCTTCACGATATAGGCATTCCAAACCGAACCAGCTACCAATTTGACTGATGGTCCCCTGGAGAAAATTTGCCAGTTTAGAAATCAAAAAGACTTCTGATGCACGGTGCTGTTGCTTACATAACTTATTGTCCCTTGATCCTCCAGCGCCTTGCACTGCCTCATTTCCTTCCAGACCTGCGCGGGGTCTTGAACTCTTCCCCATCCCTCCCCTTGTTTATCTCCACTACTGTACATGTATACCTTTAGCAGGCAACACAGCACAAATTAGGTACATTTAACTCGTCGTATGTGTGTGCCATTTTTTAAAACCCTTTCTGGTAGAATGTAGGACCATTTCTAGGTAGATAACATTGTTTATGTACTTGACATCACCTTTCTTAGCCTCTTACCAGCCACCTGCCCATGGGATCTGGTGAACTGCCATATTGAGGAACAGCTTCCAGAAATCAAGCAACCTTCCTTCAAGGTTATGTGTGTGTGTGTGTGCGCGCACACGAGTGTGTTCTATGTAATCTAACTGGCCATGATCTGACTTCAGAGATGCGGCTATTTGGGGTGTAAAAACAAGGTGTAATTTTTGAATGAATCTTCGTCTTTGTTGTGTATTCTAGTATAGATAAGAAACTCTTGACTTTCCTAAAAGTGACAAAAGGAAGGTAAGATTGAAGAGGCTAGGGAGGAGGAAGCAAGGTTGACAATTCAGTTGGCATAGCTTCTTTCATGGCTCCTGACTACTACTACACCTTCAGAGTTTTACCATATGTGAGCACATTATGTATTCTCCATATACTTAACCTTTTCCATACTGACGTCCCTCTTTTCTAATTCTTCAATGTCTCATACAAAGAGTTTAGCGTCCATTAAAAATGGTTTAAGCATATGATTAAGACCTAATAAAGAAGAGATATTAGTGATAGTGTGCAAAAAACAGTGATATTGAAAAGAAAGGGCAGGAGAGTAAGGACAAGTGGAAAACATATCGATAATGTGTAAATATGAGCAACTAAAGCTTCTTTGATTAAGCATCAGAAAATAGATGTACGAACAGAGGTTATTGTAATGTATAGTGTGCCCTATGCAGCAACTATTATTTCCTAAATTTTATAGATCAGGAAGGTTAAATTTGGGGAGGGTAAGTAAATAACTTGAGATTATACAAAGACTAAGTGAAACTGCTATAACTCAACCTGAATGTATAGTGTGCCCTATGCAGCAACTATTATTTCCTAAATTTTATAGATCAGGAAGGTTAAATTTGGGGAGGGTAAGTAAATAACTTGAGATTATACAAAGACTAAGTGAAACTGCTATAACTCAACCTGTCTTACTCTTGTGTTCATACTGCCTCCCATTCAGAATGCCTAGCTTTTAAAAATATTGAGTTTCCTTAGAGCTTTTTGACTATTAGAAAATCAGTTGCCGGGCTCGGTGGCTCAGCCTGTAATCCCGTGCCTTGGGAGGCTGAGGTGAGT